CTGCCAGCCGCTCACGGTACCTCAGGGCAGCCCACTGCAGGGGCTGCAGCCTACACTGTCGCAGGCGACTCACAGAAGCCCAGCTCCAGGTTGAGCTGTTGTTCACCATCTTAGCTGTAGAGGGCAGTGTCACTGGCCTTCATGTGGGATCCGAACTGGGGCCCTGCTGCTCAGAGCTGGCATCCTGAGCCAGCTGTTAATCAATGGGCCACTCGGCTGGCCCAGAAAATGCATTCTTAAGATTCAATTTTCTGTTCCTCTAGAACAACGGTTCTCAACCTGTGGGTCGTGACCCCTTTGGGGGTCGAATGATCCTTTTACAGGGGTGGCCAGGTACTCGTATGTGGGCATATCTGCATGTGGGCCTGGAGACGGATAGAGGAGTGGTGTCTTGGTTCCTGAGACCATCGGAAATATGTGTTTTCCGATGGTCTTAGGTGACCCCTGTGAAAGGCTGAGAACCACTGTTCTAGTACTTCTCTCAGTACCAAAATTGTATTCGTGTTCTCCAGAGAAATGAAACCAACAGTATATATGTATGAGGTGTGATCAGACGATACGGTGAATGTTTAAATAAAGAAAACATGACAGTAAAAAACACATTGCCATTAATCCTCCTCAAAAAACTCCTCCTCACTTTGAACACACTTATCCCATCATTTTGCCACTTTCTGAAGCAGTTCTGGAAGTCCTATTTCGTGAGTGTCTTTAGTTGCGTTGTCGTGGCTGCCTTGATGTCCTGAATCATTTTGACCTTGGAGAACAGTCAGAAGTTGCACAGTGCAAGATCCAGTGAGTAAGGTGGATGAGGACACACCATAATGTTTTTATTTGACAGAAATTGACGTATACCAGAAGCGATGTGTGACACAGAGCGTTGTCATGATAGAGTGTGATTTATGGCACACTTTAAAACACACCTTCACTCAACCATAGCTCACACCAGACTGACTGCATCAAACAAGTTGAAATTTGTCACACACTGTTACTAAGGTTTGACATGCCACTTCCCATATTGAAGATCCCTGCCTTTCCGTAGGATGGCACTTGGCAGCAGCATTTACCGTATTTTGTGATCACAGCGAAAAGGCTCCATGTCACACATCATTTCTGGTATGGCAATTTCTGACAAATAAAAACATTATGGTGTGTCCTTATCCACCTTATTCACTGGATCTGGCACCGTGCAACTTCTAGCTCTTCCCCAAAGTCAAAACAACCATGAAACGTAAACGTTTTGAATTGATTCAGGACATTGAGGCAGCCATGACAGTGCAATTAAAGATACTCACAAAAGAGGATGTCCAGAACTGCTTCAGAAAGTGGCAAGAATGATCAGATAAGTGTGTTTGAAGCGAGGGGGAGTATTTTGAGAGGGACTAATGGCAATGTGTTTCTACTGTAAAAATTTTTTAAAATTTAAACATTCACCATATATATTTTTATCACACCTCATATGTGCATATATACAGAGTACACACACACACACACACACACACACACGCACACGACACTTTCATATATGTGGGGTGGGGGGAGAATTTATTTTAAGGAATTGGCTCACCTGATCATGGGGACTGTAAGTCTGAAATGTATATGGCAAGCTGGAAATTCAGGTAAAATTAGATTACAGTCTTGAGTTTGAAATCTAGAGGGCAGGCCAGCTAACTGCAAACTGGGGCCAGATTTCTATGTTGCGATACTGAAGCAGAATTCCTTCTTCCACTACCAGCTGGGCACAGAAATAGACATGCATAAAGGGAAGGTGATGAGAAAACACACAGGGGGAAGAAGGTCATGTGACTGGAGTGATGCATTTACAAGCCAAGGAATGCCAAAGATTGCTGGCAAATACCAGAAGCTAGAAGATGCAAGGAAGGATTCTCCCCTGTATGCTCCAGAGAGAGCATGACCCTGCTAACACCTTGATTTCAGAATTCTAGCCTCTGGAAATATGAGGCAATAGATTTCTGTGGTTTTAAGTCACCCAGTTATTGGCACTTTCTTAGAGGAGACCTAGGAAACCAAGACAGAACCTCAGTGAGGATATTTCCATTCTCAGCTGCTGAGTACTCTGGGACATCTTAAGTGTGTGATGCTATCATCCTTGATTTGTCTAGATTCTTCAGTCTCTTTCACCTCTGTGATTATTACTCTTTTTCTAATGAAGTTGGTTACTTTCTCAAAGAACACATGGAAAACAATTAGCTGGACCCAATTCTCTATCATGTCCTCTTAACAGGGTATGAAGTTCCCAAACCAGAGGTCATCTTCAGGTTGGAGCAAGGAGAGGAGCCATGGATGTTGGAAGGAGAAACCCCACATCAAAGCTGTTTGGGTGAGTGAGTGTGACCCAGACAGAAGGGAGACATGGAAATACTTTTTTTTTCTCTAAGAGAGGCTGATGCCTTTAAAATGTGATTATTACTGTTTTTCTTGAAGGTTTAAACTTTAGGAACTGCTGGAGAATAAATAACAGTGTCCTCTCAGATACCAAATTGCTCTCCCCCTTTATTTTCCTTACTGTTATCAACTGCCTTCTTTGCTTGGGTTTCCTCCAGGAGATTTGCTGCAATTCCTATTCTCTGGATCATATACCAGCCTTCCTCACTGTGGATCTTGATTTCTTGGATATTCTCTCCTTCCATCACATTTTTATGCTTCATTACTTAAACCCCAATCCCATCGTCTTAGATTCTTATATATTCAGGTTTTAATGGAATTGCCTTCTTTGAAAATCAGTTGGTTGGCCCACTCCTGTTTCTCTTAGTACCCTTTTACTTTCTTCTTCTCTTCACTTTCATCTTCTCACTTTAAGATACCAATAAACTGTCATTTGCAACCAGCCTCACCTCCTCTCTTTGTACGTATCACCTTCAGATTTCTCATTTCTCTCCATCTCCCCATTTCCATGCCTCTCCCCCATCTTCTGACTTTATGATCACTGCCACATAGCATTTTTTCTTTTTTAAATTAAATTAAATTTTATTGTTAGTTTCAGGTGTACAAAACAACATGATTGGACATTTACACCCCTCACAATGTGATAACCCCACCAAATCTACTACCCCTCTGACACTGCACATAGCTATTACAATACCACTAACTATATTCCCTATGCTGTACTTTACATCTTGTGAATACACACACACACACACACACACACACACACACACGTGCCAAAATGTGTATATACATATTTTAAGAAAGGAAAACTGTATTAAAATTGTAATATTCAATATATACCAATAACAAAAGATGAATACAAATCACGTTTGACTTCTGCAATTACAAGAGGTGCTCAAAGTCGTTACCATCAGTGTCCAGACACTTCCGATTACGGCGAACTACTGCTTGAGAAACATTGACCAAAGTATCCACTTGTGTACACATTTATATATATATATATATATATATATATATATATATATATATATATAATGTAGAACATATATATAATGTAGAACATATATATAATGTAGAACATATATATAATGTAGAACATATATATAATGTAGAACATATANATAATGTAGAACATATATATAATGTAGAACATATATATAATGTAGAACATATATATAATGTAGAACATATATATAATGTAGAACATATATATAATATGTATATATAATATATATATATATACACACACACATACACACATAGACACACACACATTCAGTATTATTTTATATTAGTTTCAGGTGTATAGCACAGTGGTTAGGCATTTATATAATCTATGAAGTGATCTCCCTGGTAAGTCCAGTACCCATCTGGCACCCTACATAGTCTTTACAACATTATTGATTATATTCCCCATACTGTATTTCACATCACTGTGACTATTTTGTGACTACCAATTTGTACTTCCTGATTCCTTCACCTTCTCACCCATCCCCCACCTCCCCTCCCATCTAGCAGCCATCAGTTTTTTCTCTGTATCTATGAGTTTATTTTTTCTTTTTGAAATCAATATTATTAAGGTATAATTTACATACAATAAAATATATTCATTTCAAGTATACAGTTTGATGAGTGTAGATAAGGCACACACTAGTATGACCACCGTCCCAATCATGATACATAGCATTCCATCACGTAAAAATGCTCCCTCATGCCCCTTGTAGTCAGTGCCCACTACGGTCACTTGGGCCCCAGACAACCATTGACTTGCTTTTTGTCACTGTAGATTAGATTTGTCTTTATTAATGGTTTATATCAATGAATCGTACTGTCAATACTCTTTTCATTTAGCATAATGATTTTATGATTTATCCATGTTGTTGAGTATATCACTAGTTTATTATTTTTAGGTGCTGAATACCATTCCATGGTATGAATATATTGTAATTTAAAAAATCTATACACCTGTTGATGACAGGTGGTTATTATTTGGTTATTAAGAATAAAGATGCAGTTAACATTTTGGTCTTTGTGTGAACGTATGTTTACATTTCTTTTGGGTAAATACCTAGGAGTGGAGTTGCTGGGTCATGTAATTATATGCTTACCTTTATAAGAAATTGCTAAACTGTCTTCCAAAATGACTGTGTCATTTCATATTCCCAGTGGCAATACATGAGAATTCCTATTGCACCACATCCTCATCAACACTTGCCATCATGAATCTCTTTAATTTTTGCTATTATAGTGGACATATAATGGTATCTCATTACTATTTTAAGTTGCATTCCTCTGATGAGTAATGATGTTATCTTTTCATGTGATTATTGACCATTTGTACATTTTTTGTGAAGTGTCTATTCAAATATCTTTCTCATTTTTTATTGGGCTTTTTGTCTTCTTATTATTGAGTTGTAAGAGTGTTTTTTATATTTGCTGGATGCAGCTCCTTTGCGAAATATATGTATTGCCAATATTTAGTTCCAATCTGTGGCTTGCAATTTTATTTCTGGGCTTATCAAAGACCAAAAATTTTAATGGAGTCTAATTTATCATCTTGAAAAAAAAATTTTAGTACTTTTTGTGATCTGTGTAAGAAATGTTTGCCTATCACGAGGTCACAAAGATTTTCTCATATTTTCTTCTATAAGTTTTATCATTTTAGTTCTTTCAGTTTAGGTCTGTGATCCATTGTGTGTTTGATGTAAGGATTGATGTTCATTTTTTTCAATACAATATCCAGTTCTAGAACCATTTGTTGAAGAGACTTTCTTTTTCCCCTTGAATTTTCTAGACATGTTTGTCAAAACTAATTGACTTTGTCTTTGTGAAACTACTTCTGGACTCTTTGTTCTGGTCAATTGATCTCTGTGTCTTCTTGTTTTAAAATGTAGGTTTTATTATTATTCAGGTATGGTGAGGCCAACAGATCCAGAGGTGGCTGCCATTTAAAAGATAGTGTGTAACTCACAGAGGGGGGGCATGCCACAGCAGGCGAGGCCATAAGGGAAAAAGCACCAGGGTCAGTCAGTCAGGAGGAGTTGTGAGAGGAAAGCATAGGCAAGAGCCTTTATTGTGATTTTCATGGGAAAGAATAGGGGAGGCAGAATAAGCAGGCTGGGAAGGTTTAGGATTGGCTAGTTTGAGTAATTTCAATGGGGGCTCCCGGGTGTAGGAACTGTCCTTAGTTGTCTGGTACCTGGTCCTGAGGTGATTAGGGCAGGGAGATAGTGGCTCAACCTTTGAGAATTTGTAAAGGAGATGGTGGATTTGGGCTCTCGGTTGGTTGGTTTGCATATGAAAGGTTTGCTCCCACAGAAGTCATTTGCTATCTCTAGGAATTAACTAGCTCTGGGAGGGGCAGTCTCTCCAGGATTAGCAAGGCATCAGATGCCCAAGCATCAAGAAAACAGAAAATAAGAAAACATAGTTAATACACAGTCCTTTTGGCAAACCCATACTTTCTCTATTCCTGTAGCTTTTATAATGAGTCTCGAAATCAGGTAGGATAAAGTCTCCAATTTTGCTTTTTAAAATTACTTTGGCTCTTCTAGGCCATTTGCATTTCCATATAAACTGTATAATCAGTTTGTAATTTTTTTTTGAAGAAGCCTGCTGGGATTTTGTTTGGAGTCGAGTTAACTCTGTAGATCAATTTTAGGAGCATTGACATCTTAACAACATTGAGCCTTCTGGTCCATGAACATGGATATTTCTGCATTTATTTAGGTCTTTGATTTGTTTCACCAGTATTTTATAGTTTCAGTGTAAAAGTCATATGCATCCTTCATTACATTTATTCCTATGCATGTATTGTTTTTGATACTATTGTAAATAGCATTATTTTATTTTCAGATTGTTCATTGCTAGTATAGATTGCTAGTGATTAATCTTTGTACATTGACTTTGTATCCTGAGGCATTCCTAAATCCACCTATCAGTTTTCTTGTAGGTTCCTTGAGGTTTTTCATGTAAGTAGTCATTATCATGTTAAGCACACTTACTTTTTCCTTTCCAATGTCATGCTTTTTATTTATTTTCCTTAACTTATTTCACTAAGACCTTCAGTTTGATATTGAATAGAAGTGGTGAGTGTAGGCATGCTTGCCTTGTTCCCGAAATTAGGGGCAAAAAATTTATATCATTAAGTATGATGTTAGCTGTAGGTTTCTTGAAGCTGTGCTTTATCAGGTTATATGTAAGTTTCTTTCTAATCCTAGCTTGTTAAAAAGTGTTTTTTCAAAATCATAGTTAAGTGTTGAATTTTGTCAAATGCTTGTTCTTCATCTTATCAGAGTGATCATATGAGTTATTGCTTTTATTTTGTTAATATGTGAATTGATTGGTTTTCAAATGTTAAATTAACCTTGTAATTCTGAGATAAATACTAGTTAATTATGCTATATTACCCTTATTACATATTGTTGGATTCTATATTTATATTTTGTTTAAAAATATTTGAATTTTTCATGAGTAATATTGGTTTGTAGTTTTCTTTTTTTGCATTGTCTTCGTCAGGTTTTGGTATTAAGGTTATGTTTGGCCACATAATATGAGTTGCGAATGAATTCCCTTATCTATTTTCTTAAACAGTTTGTGTAAGATTGTTATTTTTTATGCTGTTTCACAGAATTCACCAGTGAAACTGTCTGGGCTTGGAGTTTTCTTGATGGGAAAGTTTTAATAACAAATTCAATTTCTTTAATAGGGCTCTTCAGATTTTGTGTTTCATCTTTTGTCAGACATAATAAATTGTATTTTTTCAAGTAATTTGTCTATTACCTTTATTTTCTCTAATTCTGTTGTTATATAAGAATACACTCTGTATGATTTCAGCAAAGGGTCCATCTAAGGGAATGTCCCATGTGTGTCTGATTGGGCTCTTGATGGGTGTTGTATTCTTTAATATATAAATCAAGTTGGTTGCCTGTT